CCTTCTGTGTGGCCTGGATGAATGTGAGATTTCCCTGCCTGAAATTGCGTCCCAGTCCGGCCCTGGTATGCATTCACAGAATTATCAATTTCTGTTATTTTGCATATTGTTGGTCCTATACGCGGTTCATGATATTATTATAATTTTAAAGCCTTTTTTTACAGACAGTCTGCTTGATAAACAATTCTAGTACGGTGTTTGTTTGCAAATTGCAAACAAAACCAACTGAGACAACTTTTTAAAAAAATACAACAAAAGTTATGTTTCTTAAAAGCTCAAAGACCAAGAACACCAAATATTTGCACATTTGAACTTCATTCCACCAGTACAGACAGGTTAATCAACTGCTCATCATTACAAGTAGAAAATGTTACTCTAAATGCACTGGAACACCCAAAATGCTTCACAAAACCATGAACGCTAATCTGTCAGATAGACTTTTCCTAAACATTGTTGCAAACTGCATTCATTTGGATGTGGTTATATTCTACACAAATGTCCCTCTTCACCTGCAAAAAATGTTGCAATGCTATCTTCTTGTCTTCATAACAAGCACAAGCATGTAGGCCCGTGCCTGACTTCCACTGTAAACCACAGTGATTATAGTGTAAAGAATGTACACAAAGAATGTGCTTAAAGGAACAGCTTACCCAAAATTCGTTATTTACTCACCCTCATGTCATTCTGTGAAACCCAAAAAGGGATGTTAGGCAGAACAACAGTCTATGAAAGCGAATGGTGACTGAGACTGTTATTCCGCCTAACATCTCCTTTTCTGTTCCTCAGAAGAAAGTCATTATGAGGGTGAGTAAATAATGACAGGAGTTTCACTTGAAGATATTTCGCTTGGATACTCTGTTGTCCCCGTTTTACTCTTGAGTCATACATACCAAGCATTTCTCTCCCATAAAAATCCACCACTAAAGAGCAAAGTCCAGCTATTAGAAATGTTTCACAGCACAAATATATCCGGTGTCACAATATAATCAAATCTTTAGCATGGCACATAATAAACAGCATAAAAGCGATCTATTGTTTGCTTGTGTAAAAAACATAGGCTACGTTAAAAAAAAAAAAAAATTTAAGCAGCTAAGACTTCGTTAAACAACAAAGTAAATCTTTTTCCCACCAACATGTATTTGTTAGGCTATCTGTTATGATAACAAATGTTATCAGTATTGCAGAAACATTACTTTTACGTGAAAACTTTGTAGAGGATAAGTGAGAACTTTGCTCTTAATGTATGAGTGGGTTTAACTTTTGTCACTTTTTTGTTTTGACGGCCCGAGTGAATGAGCGCAATATTAACAAGCTGAGGGAGTGTTTACACAAGGAGTGTCTGAGCAAGACACTCTACAAAACAAAAGATTGTAACCCAGTTAGTCTGTTTGGCTAACTAGACTGATTTATGACCATTTAAGTACAATAACATAACGCCATGAACGAAAGTGAGGCGCTCAAAGCGAAATCTTGTTGTTAAGGAAAATGAAGCGGGTCTTTTTTATCAAAACGTAGCCTACCTCAAACCGTAACCACCCTTCTTGCTGTCAAAATGTCGCTGTAACTTTCTGACGAGAAGTTGTCACTGCCTGCTTAGGTTGAAAACGTTTGTCTTCATGCCGTAGTTTCTTTCCATCCAGCGGTCGTTCCGGATTTCGAGTCTAGGCGCGCGGCTCTCCACGCCTACCTGCGCCGGGCCACGCCAACCGCGCCTCTATACTACACCGCTGTAAACATGTGGGACAAATGCCCAGGCATGAGGTAGAGTCAATTACAATTCAAATAACATGGCAATGTAATAATGTTGGTAATTAGCTCAATTTGCAAAAATGTCTCTTTCTCGGTCTTTGAATCAGTAAAACACCGTATCTCTCCACTCTTCTGCATGTTGCAGCTTGATGCGCCTCCAGCGACGGATTCTGCAGGAATTCATGTCAGGTCAACCCAACCACAGCGCATAATAACACATCTGCTGGGATATTCAAGTACATTCACATTTCTATTTCTTGGATAACATATTTCTTTGGCATGGAAATAAAGATGTGCATCTTTTTATATAACTGGAAGCACAATACAAAACCGTTAAACAGTTCAATACAGAGAGAAGAGAGAGTTGAGAAATGTGTGGTAGCCTATGTCAGGGATTCTCAATCTCAAACCTGTCCTGGAGGACCACTAGCCCTGCACATTGTGTATGTCTCCCTGATCTAACACACCCAATTCATGTCTTGCAGTCTCTTACGAGCTGATGAGTTGAATCAGGTGTGTTAGATCAGGGAGACATACAAAATGTGCAGGGCTAGGGGTCCTCCAGGACAGGTTTGAGAACCACTGGCCTATGTTATGTGTCATACCAGAAACTTTAAGTCATATTACGTGATAACCTTGCACTTAGTGTATGTTATAAGAGTGTTTCTTCAACTATGGGCACTTTTGGCCCTGTTTGCTTTTGATTATTAACAATGCCAATACATGCATCACAGGAGTATGCTTGCTGTCCTGTACTTTTGTGCTTTTTTGGCAAACATCATCAACATTTCCACCAAAACGTGATTTACACCGCTCTGATTTCGATCACAAAGTGCTGTATAACACAATACAGCATTTTGTGATCGAAATAAATGCTGTATAACACAATACAGCATTTTGTGATCGAAATCAGAGCGGTGTAAATTTGACAACTGCATTTAAAATAATTACAGCATGATTGGGAATTATCTCACAGAATCTCACTGACACTGGTGTCTGTTTGGTAAAAGAAAAAAGTACACTTTTTAGTACAACTCTCAAAGGAAACAAATATGTTGGTTGTGATGTAAAAAAAACGTGAGACAACTGAGGGATTAATTATATTTTTGTATTGTTTAGATGAACATTTTAAGATTAAAATGTATTTTAATCTTAACATTTTCAGATTAAAATGTACATAAAAGACAAATGGCAAGTAAAAAAATAATAAAGGCATAGAAAAAGATTTCCAAGTTTTAAAGCGACTTTCATAATGCAGCAAGAAAAAAGCTAAAACCTGTTTAATAAACATCAACTCAAATATAAAAGTGCCTGAAGTTGAAAAACACATGCATGTAGATGCATGACCGAGATATAAAATACATCATGTACAAATGTGAAAGAACAAGCTTGACTCACAATAGCTGTCATGAGAGCTTTGTCAACACCTGAAGGAACGCCTTGTGCAATTCAACAATTTTACCACATGATGGCGCTAAATTCCAACACTTCATTTTAAGAGCGCCTTTGCCAATTTTGTGTGCAATATTCTTATTGTTCCATGGGTGTGCTGCTATCTGAGAATATTTACGGTGGTTGTCTACGGTAGTTTCGTGTATGCCCAATATATTTGACCACATGATGGTTTTAAAGTTCTGTAGCTTTTTTAGAAGTTAAGCTATTTCAAGTTCTTATTGCATTTAGTCTGCGGGCTTGTTTAAAACCTTTTTTCTCAGATATGTACAACATTTAATTCTGTTACCTTTAGTAAATACTGGCAGTATTTATGTGGGGCTTATTACATTTGTAAATTTTCTGCAGTCGCTTTTATGAAAATAATATGATTTTCATGAATGTTAGAAGCCCGCTCTGAACTGTGAGGTCATCAAAAAATATAAAGCAGGAAAGCTATTTTCAACATAGATAATAATAATAATAATGAATACTTCTTGAGCATCAAATCAGCATATTAGAATTGTTTCTGAAGGATCATTTGACACTGAAGACTGGATTAATGGCTGTTAAAAATTCAGCTTTGCCATCACAGGAATAAATTATTCCTAATATTTTTTATATATATAAAAAATATATATTTTAATATATTTTAAATATATTAAAATTACAAGGTTGTCTTTTAATCAAATAAATGCAGCCTTGGTGAACATACAGTATATATATAAACATATATCACTACATTTAACAATACATATAGTAGCAATACACAGTATTTGCATATATGTAAGACCCTTATCTGTGTCTCATTTGGGTCAGAACAAGACTACAGGATCCATTCACAGATGTAGACATTACTCTTCTTTAGAATTGCTCATCTCTAAGGGACGCTTTTGTTTCCAGTCATGCCTTCTATTTGCCATGACGGCCCTATTTTACAGGCCTGGAGTGGTAAATACTGGTTTTACAAGTGAGAGAAGGAGAGACGGAGAGAAGAGCTACTGTGTATCACCTGCTATTTCTCTAATAATCAGATCCTCAGTTTATGCTCCTTTAGGCCCTCGATGAATACACTTGAAAATATAATAGATTTAGCCAACCAGCTAATACTCTCACATAAGAACGATCTGTTAGACCTCTTACAAGAAACCGCTGAGGAACTGAGTTTTACAACCAGTAAAAGCAAGAGAAGAAACAGGACCTGAGCAATCCTCTAATGGCCGTAAGACATTCAAGCTGGAGTTCACGCAAGACTTTTTCAGGTCCTCAGGACATTTTGTGAGCTTCACACCCAGAGAGTGTGTGTGCTGAGAGAGGTTCTTTGTGGTACAGCAAACACACTCACTGAGCGTAGGATGTACTCCAATTTGGCACACACACACCCTCATGAGTCTCAAGTGACAACAGCTGATGTGGGTAAGTGCTTCATGAGAAGCTTGTGATCTTTGTAAAGGAAGGAGCCTTTCCAAATTGTGTGTTTGTGTGTGTCTTGCTTTGTCTCAAAGCTGTATTGGCATGACTGTGACAGTACTAACATGCATAGCATTCTTATGTAATTAGTGCATAAAATAGTCTAAATCAAAATATTTTAAAGGTGTATAAATAAAAAAGTTTTTAAAAATCCCGGGACTCCCTTAAAATGACAAACTCTAATGTGTTTTTTTGTTTTGTTAAGAAATTAATTATTTTTAATCTGCAGGATGCATTAAATTGATCAAATATGACAGTAAAGACTTTTACAATGTTTCAAGAGATTTCTGTTTCAAATAAATGCTTTAACTTTTTATTCATAAAAGAAAATCCTGGAAAAAACATGTATTTGGTTTCCACAAGTATGTTAAGCAGCACAACTGTCTGCAACATTGATAATAATAATAAATGTTTCTTGAGGACCAAATCAGTGATTTGATGTGACACTGAAGACTAGAGTAATAACCATCACAGGATTATTCAAATATTCAAATAGAAAGCAGTTATTTTAAATTGTAATACACAATATTACATTTTTACTGTATTTTTGATCAAATAAATGCAGCTTTCATGAACAAAAGACTAAGGCTGATGATACACAGGGCAACTTTTTGAGCAATGTTGCTTGGGCACTTTCCCATTGAGAATGGGTAATGAATTTCTATCTGGATATTTTAGATCAGTCGTGGGCCCTGTGTCTCACCTGGTTGCCCGCTGACGACAACATTGCTCAAAAAGTTGCCCAGTGTATCATCTGCCTTACTAGTGTAGTGTAAAATATTATTGTTATTTTGTTCAATTTTCCAGAAAGAATATCTTTTGGGATAACAGTACACCGCTTCCTTGATCCTTTGGACATGGTAATAATTATATATAGTCATTCTGAATATTCAGTAACACTTAAAAACAAAGGTCCCAATAGTTAACTTTAGGCGATGAATAATAATGAATAAAACTTAATAAACTCCGTAACAAATGTATTACTCATTGTTAATGTTAGTTGATAAAAATACTAGCTGTTCATTGTTAGTTCATGTTAGCTCAGGTCCATTAAATAATATTAACAGATACAACTTCTTTTTCTTTATTCCTTTTATTTTATTTTATTTATACCTTTGCTTTTTATTTTTTAGCCTGTATTGTGCAAAGTAAAGCAATAGATAAACTGTGCAAAAATCTTTCATAAGCACACTTTCGCATGGCTTGTCATGATATTGAGTATATTGTGTATTTTTAGACGCTTCCTATGGATCCCACTTTTACCAAGACCATGTGACTGATGTCATTCTTAATGTCCTGGAAGATATCCACGCCATTGTAAACCAGTTCAGTGTAATGAGCAGGAGGCTCGACACTGGTATTGCTTTTCTTACTGAAGTCAGTGGGGAGAGACGTGACCTTACCAGTACTGGATCTCTGGATACTGCAGACCACATAAAACCAGAATCATGTGACATTAGTACACGGGCCAGCAACTTGCACACCACCATCTTGAAAATGTACAGTCTACAGGGCTTCTAAATGGTCCAGTGAAGCACTGTGCTGTGTATATGGATGACAGAAGCACCAGGGAAGAGTGCTCACATGAAGAAGCAAGAGTAGACTCACTCTATACAACTTTGGTGACTGACTCCAAGGAGTGTCTGAACGTGAATAATGAGGGAGAGGAAATACAGAAAAGCAGAGGAGAAGAGGGTCAAAGATTGAAGTTGGTAACTGTTGGGTAAGATTGTGTATGTATATAGGGCAGGTGTGGAGAAATGATGTTTCAAAAATGCTGTTGATCAGTCCAACAACATCCAAAAAGCACATTACAGCACTTTCACTTGCTCTTGTTTCTTATTTGTAAATAAGAAAATATTTCACACAAATATTGGTATTTTGATGGTCCCTTTTGAACATTCTGTTGACTATAAGTAACATTGCACTTACATGTCGACTAACTCTCATTAGACTAGTATTAGTTATAGAAGCCTGTTTCCACCACTGAATAATATATATATATATATTTTTTTTTTTTTTTCATCTCACAATTCTGTCTTTTTTTCTCAGAATTGCCTGATACAAACTCGCAATTCTGACCTTTTTCTCAGAATTGTGAGATATAACCTTTGAATTGTGAGATATAAACTGGCAATTCTCCCTTTTTTTTCTCAGAACTGTGTGATATAAACTCGCAAATTGCGAGTTATAAAGTCAGAATTGCGAGATATAAACTCGCAGTTCTGAGAAATGAAGTCAGAATTGTGTGATATAGGCCTAAACTCGCAATTGCGAATTATTAAGTC